GTACATGCCTGTATTTAGATCTCTATGCAGGCCCTTTGCCTCCTAGCTCTTTCCTCTATTTCCCTTGACTTAGCTCTTGTCCCACCATCATGCTCAGTCTTCATTGGGTTTCAGTAATTCCTCTTGGTTACATTACGCTTGGTCACGCCCTACCAGGCCTCCTACACCCTCCTCACCACCAATTTGGATCACTTGTTGTACCCTTCCCCCTGGGTTTGTTAACACCACTACCTTTCCCCCACCTCCCCCTCTCCCATGTTTGGTTTTTCTTCCGAGCTGTATGAGAATTAGCAGTAAATGCTCTCCGTTTGGTTTTTCTTCCGAGCTGTATGAGAATTAGCAGTAAATGCTCTCCGTTTGGTTTTTCTTCCGAGCTGTATGAGAATTAGCAGTAAATGAGCCATATCTTAGAAAGGAGCGAAATCCCAAAACTTAGAGCTTCCAGATGGGGTAGTGGCATCTTGCAGGTCCCTCACTGAATTGACCCTGCTGGCTGAGCTGGTGAAGTGTCTTCTAAAGAATGGGAGGGAGGTTTGTTACCAATGAGTAAGTGAGTTATTGGCTGGGAAGCTCTGCAGTGATTTAGTTGTGAAAGGGTACCCCGTGAGTTGTGCGGCTAGCCAAGGACCTGGGCTGGGCAAGAGAGTGGACAAGAGGCACCCCACATCCCAGCATTACTGAGCGGGAAGGGACTGCGGGGGGGCAGGGGAGGTGGGAGTGGCAGAGATGGTGGCCAGCGCCTTGCCACTTGCCGTCGTCCTGCTAGACGCCCCCAGGAAGGTGGAGGGAGGAACGGGGGCCAACACAGCTGGGTTCAAGTACAGTGGGCAAGGCCCCGAGTGTTGCACTGAGCAGCCAGAGGCCAGTAGACGGGTCCACACCGCGGTAGAGGGACGTTTGGGGGCTCTGCTGCTCGCCTTTTAGTCGGTTCCGGAGAGGGGACACCACTGAGACTGGTGTCCCGTAGGACCGGAGCCCTGGGCGGGGGCGGGCAGACAGCGCCGGATCCAGGCCGCCTTTTGCAGCCGCCCGCGGCCGCGCCGGCACTGCGCCTCTCCAGCCTCCTCCCCCGGCGGCAGCGGCGGCGGCCCCAGCCTCGCGCCCCGTGCCCGCCGCGCGGCCCCGTTGCGGTCACCCGCGATCCTCTTCGGCCGCCGCCTTCCTACGCTTTGTAGTACGGAAGCTGAGTGACAGTCGGCGGCCTC